AAATGCCAAACGAAAGCAGTTAATTCTAAAATTTAATTCGGATGAGTTGGTTCTACAGTTTCTATTTAAAAAAATGAACTAAATACATTTTCTTAAATAGTTGAAATTTAATTTAGATCATATACAGTCATAATTTAGATCATATACAGTCATAATTTATATCGTATATATCAACGACGGGAACTGAGCCAAACGAATGTCCTTGGTTCTTCAAAAATATTTATGGAGTTTCAAAACCGTAAATTTAAACTACATTCAACCAAAAGTTTTGATTATTCACTCTAACATAGAAATTTATTTACACTAAGAGGCATCAGTCGATTTCTTATTTAAAATTTTTGACTTCAGATTCGTCGAATATGCCCATAATTAATGTGGGCCTACAATTTGTGTGTTTAAAACCCTACTATATTAAGTAGTAGTACTAATACTCAAACTTTATAGAAATAGTCTAGAAATAACAAGTACATTTTGGAAAAACGATCTATTTTCCTCTGAGAAATATCATATAGCATCAGATGTTCCCCGAACTATGACCACGTTCTAGATATCCTCTAAAAATACTTAAAAATTTAGATGTCCCCGAATAAATATTTAAAGAGTTAGATCTCCACAAACTTTGATTTGGAAACTTCAGACTCTATAGACATTGGTTTAATATAGTTTAGTGGTTTAAAAAACAAAGATGAACCAATAATGAACCGAATTAAACCTAATTAAACCCAATTACAATCGAATTACAGATATCTAAACCAATTAGACCCGATTATCTGGTTTAAACCAAATATACCCGTCCCCACCCCCCCCCCCCCCCCCCCAAAAAAAAATCCCCAAATTGCGAAATCCCTAGATCGACAAACTCTAAATCGTGAAATCCAGAAAATTGTTTATCTCCAATGTCGTTAGTTGGTGGTGATGACATCGGCGAGTTCGACGAAGAAGCAGGTGACCGTGAAGAGGCTGAAATCGAGCAATTACTCCAAGAGTTCGAGGATGAGCAACCAATCGAACATGATGTGTATCCTCAAACCGAAACCGATAGTGATGAAGGAGAAGAAGGAGAAGTTGAAGAAGGTGTTCGACGAGAGAGACAAAGACAGCAGAACAATATCAGACGTGGTGATGGAAGATTATACAAGGACCAAACATTCTTCAGTGGAGTTGCATGTAAAGAGTCTGTGCTCGACTATGTACTAAGAACTGGTCGAAATTTGAAGCAATACAGGTATGATAAGGATAAAATAGGGTTTAAATGTGTTGGTGGTGTTAGTGGTATTAGTGATCTTGAAGAAAACCATGGATGTATGTGGCAAGTATATGCTTCGATCCTGCCAAATGATGCAATGTGGAGAATTAGGTTGTTCGTAGATGAGCATAGCTGTGTTCCTAATGGAGAATATGAGATGTTTAAGGTCCCTGTTATTGCTAGGATGTTTGTTGATAAGATTAGAGAGGAACCTGATTATTACATGCCTATGAAGATTGAAGAAATTGTGATGGAAAGATGGAAGATTGTTGTATCTAGGGCTCAGTATCAAGCTGCAAGAAATAAAGCATTGAGATGGATCGAATATGATTATGATCAACAGTTTGCTCGCCTTAGAGATTATGCTGCTGAGTTAGTGGAGTCAAATAAGGATTCAAGTGTGGAGATTGATACTTTTAAAAATGCAGAAGGCGAAGATGTGTTTAATAGTTTCTATGTTTGCTTTGATGTGTTGAGGAGAACATGGAAAGAGACTTGTAGGCCTCTGATCGGAATTGATGGCACATTCATTTCTGGAAAAGTCAAAGGACAAGTATTAGTGGCTTTAGGTAGAGACGCAGACAATGCTATATATCCTATAGCATGGAGTTGTGTCCAAGTGGAAAACTCTGACAATTGGTTATGGTTTGTGAGAAAACTGAAGGCCGACTTGGGATTGAATGATGGTGATGGATTTATTATAATGTCTGATCGGCAAAAAGTAAGTAAATTGCTTATTTGATTGCTTATTTAATTTTGGTTATTTTATATTTCTTGTTGCTTTAACTTACTTTTCTGTTTCAGGGATTGATCAAAGCAGTTAAGGAAGAATTGTCAAAGGTTGAGCATAGAAAGTGTGTGAGACACATCTATGGCAACCTAAAGAAGAATCATGGGAGCAAAAAACATATGAAGCCATTAATATGGAGTTTGGCGTGGAGCTATAATGATGCACAGTTTCAAGAGAACTTGGACAGGCTTCGAAACTATGATAGTGGTGTCTTTGATGATGTGATGAAGACAGATCCAAAGACCTGGTGTAGAGCTTACTACAAGAAGGGGAATTATTGTCAAGATGTGGAAAACAACTCCACTGAATCTTTCAACAAGACAATTAAAAAAGCGAGGGAGAAGGAATTTATTTCTATGCTAGAAACCATAAGAAGATTGACGATGGTTCGTATTGCCAAAAGATCAGACAAATCTCACGACCACAATGGTATAAGTGTTTTTAGTGTTCTGTTTTTTGTTTACGTGTTATTAGCTGTTTCACTTCAATGTTTTTTGCTTTTTATTTCAGGGATCTGTACGCCTTATGTTACAAAGTTTCTTGCAGACGAGCATGAGCAAGCTTCTTTATGTGTTGTTACTAGAGGCACAAATGGATACTATGAAGTAAGGCTGGGTGGTTGTTCTTACCGTGTCAACTTGGAGAAGAGGACTTGCACTTGCTTCAAGTTTGATATTTGTGGGATCCCTTGCGAGCATGCTTATGGAGTAATAATGGTGAAAAAGCTTGTAGCTGAAATTTTTGTCTGTCACTGGTTTCGCACATCGACATGGAGGAGGAACTATGAAGAAGGCCTTGTTCCAGTAAGATGTGCACGGTTCTGGCCCCAAACAAATCATCCGAATGTGCATGTTCCTCCTGAACCTGATCAACCTGGAAGGAAGAAAGTAACTAAGGCTGACAAGAAGAGAAAGAAAGGTGTGAATGAGTCTCCAACCAAGAAGGCAGACAAAGTGAAAAAAGGGTAATGCATTGTAAAGTATGTAGTGTAGCTGACCATAACTCAAGATTTCACAAGAAGACATCCGAAGAGGTTTGTGGTTTCTGATTTTGACTTGTGTTTTGGGATGAAATTCGTTTGTGGTATCGGGTTTAAGCTTTGTTTGTGGTATTGGGTTTAAGTTTTGTTTGGGGTATCGAGTTTAACCTTCTTAAGTGTTTCTGGTTATACTGCAGGCTTCTCAAGGAGAATCCTCTCAAGGAACTCTCACTCAAGCTCAATCTTCTCAAGCTATGGAATAAACATAGGAAGAAGGAAGTAATGGATAAGAAGAGGTCGGTTTTTGTAGGTTCAGTTTTTGTATGGGCTAAGAAGAAGGAACTTATGTATGGTCGTTTGTGTTTCTGCATTATTGGTACTTTTGGCAGGAGAGAACTTGATTTAGTGTCCTGTTTTTCATAACCATTGTGTGTTACACTTATTTTTTGATGATACAATATGAGCTTTTGACCATTTCTATGTTCTTGTACTTTTCAATGGTAAGCATAAATAATTGTATTACCAAGACACTAATCCAAAACATTACAAAGCATAATTATATTATCAAGACACTAATCCAAGATATTACCAATAAACAACAAAGCACAAACTAGCTTCCATTTGTTTTAAGAAGAACACTAAACAACAAAGCAAAACACTAAACAACAACACAAAACTCTAAGAAGATCATCATCATTTATTTTAAACTAGCTTCATGAATCCAACAACAATCATACACCCAATGACCACAAGTACCATCATCTTCTTCATGCTACATTTTGCATCAATCAAGCCATTTTCAATCCTCTCCATTATCTCATTCTCAAGCTTCATTTGAAGCTTCTCATAAACATCATTCTCAAACTCCATACGCTTTGTAGTAATCTCTTTCAACTCTTGTTCAAGTCTTGCATTTTTGAATTGCAATGTCTCAATCTCATTTAAGACTGCCTCATCAACCTATTTGAATACATATTGGTCATTCATAAGCTAAAAACAGAAAAACCAACATCAATAATAATCGCAACTAACGAATCACAACCAACAAATGAGATTTTCAATTTATATTACCTTCTTTGATGTTGCATAACCACATCGGAAGTATCGCCGGTAAGGATTGTGGTCGGATTTGGACATCAAAGCTACAATATCCTCGCCACACAAACATCTCTTTGGCACGCCCACAACTCGTCCGCTTCTTGGCCGACTGCTTGATGTTCCGCTCGAAGGTGTTGACACATTACTCGTTGCTCCAGACATGATGATTTTCCCTACAAATATAAAATCATTAACAAAGCACGAGTAATCGAGCTTTTGCAAAATCGCTTTTGCAGACTCAATTTTCCAGAATCGAACTTCTACTTATGAAATACAAGAATGAAATACAAGAAATACAAGAATAATTGTATGATTTTCGAAGGACTTACACTGGTATTTGAGAATTTGTAATCGATTTGTAGACTTGATTTTTCAAAATCGATTGTAGGGTTCTAATAAATTTGAATTGGGGATTTTCGGGAGTTTAAAATTGGGTATTTTAAGGAATTGGTCATCGAATCTGGTTTAAGTGGATCCGGGTTTTTCTTTCGGTCTGGTTTCAGAGATTCATTGGTTTGGTTTGTTTGGTTTTCGGGTTTACACCAATTCAAAATTTGTGGAGATCTAACTCTTTAAGTATTTATTCGGGGACATCTAAATTTTTAAACATTTCTGAGGGAATATCTAAAATGTGGTCATAGTTTGGAGGACATCTGATGCTATATGATACTTCTCGGTGGAAAATATATCGTTTTCTCATATATTTTACACGAAAATTCATACACTACGAGTGTATAATATAATGGGTAATCTACTAACTAGTGCTTAGAAGCGCCCCCCTATTTAATTACAGTATTAGCCTTTTCATAAAAGAAAACAACTACAAAAAAAAACAAAATTAGAAAAATTAGAAAAGCAAGATACAATACAAGAAACATCGCTTTTGAGGAAACATCGCAAGATCGAGAGTGTAAAAAGTTGCTTAAAACTTTCACATTAAACGACGAACAGATATCATTTTCTTATTAATTTCCCTTTTCTTCCTCATTCACCTGAGGAATAATAATACCTGAAAGAACGAGAGAAGGAACAAAAGCAGCAATATTTCTCTTTAAACGATTAACCTCTTCTTCCTCTCTCTCTCTCTCTCTCTCTCTTTCTCTCTCTCGGACATTGATCGGATCGGATCTAGAACAACTCGTCAAAGAAAAAGAAGAGATTTTTCGATCGACGTCAAAAAAAGCTGCTTTTTCACTTCGCTTTTCCTCCACTGAGAGATAAATTTCTTCAAACGTACGACTGATTTGTCTATCACCAGGTGTTAACTTCTTTCTTCTTCTTCTCTGTTTTTTGTAAATTTTTCTGGCAATTGCGTGTTTTAGTCTGTGAAGATTTCGCGGGAAAGACTTCAAAAAAACTTTTCTTTCCCATCTTTCTTCCTTCTCTCTGCATTTTCTCGGCGGTTACTTCATATCATCGAGTATTTGGTTTAATTGAGACGAATCATGTTATCGTTACCGTAATCTTTGCTGGGTTCCTTTTTTTTTTGAATACACAACTTCCCCACTTTTTCTCTTTCTTTCCTCGGTTTTGAAGCTAAACATCGTATCGCCATTAACAGAAAAGAAAAAGGAGAAAGAGAAACTAAAAGCCACTTTTTTTTATAAAAAACATTCTTTCAGGAATTGTGTCGAACACCTTCAATGGATTCCTCAGTCGATTACGTTGGTTCATCGTCCAAAACCAGAAGCACTCAAGCTAAGTCCAAATGCTCCGTTACATCTTTTTCTATCGATTCCAGATACACAGTAGGCACCAAGAAATCGGAACCGCCGTTGAAGATGTCAACACCAGAAACTTCCCGCGAAGTTTTGGAAATCTCCGAATCCTCTGTTTCAGCTGAATCTGAAACACCAATCTCGATTATACGGATGAAGAAACAATCGGAGCCGAGGTTTTACCCTAGCCCAACCAACACTTTCTACACAGCGCCACTCTACGCAGAAGCCAAACAAAGCTTCACCAACACAGAGCTCAGCGAGTGCGCAAGCACAATCGGCGTAGGCGGAATCGATCTGGAGAAGACGGGTGTATTGACATACAGAGGAAGCACGGGGAGTGACGTCAGCGACGAGAGCAGCTCGAGCGGGTTGAGCAACGCGGCTTACAAGCCGCACAGAGCCAATAACGACAAGCGTTGGGTCGCGATTCAGGAGGTTCGAACCCGGGTCGGGTCGTCTCTGGAGGCTAAAGATTTCAAGCTGATAAAACGGCTGGGAGGAGGTGACATCGGGAACGTTTTCTTAGCGGAGCTGATCGGAACAGGGGCGAGTTTCGCCGTGAAAGTTATGGAGAAAGCAGCGATTGCAGCGAGGAAGAAGCTTCTCAGGGCTCAAACGGAGAGAGAGATTCTCCAGTCGTTGGACCACCCGTTCTTGCCTACGCTTTACTCTCACTTCGAAACGGAGAATCATTCGTGTCTTGTCATGGAGTTCTGCCCCGGTGGTGATTTACATTCTCTCCGGCAAAAACAGCCCGGAAAATACTTCACTGAGCACGCCGCTAGGTAAAGAGCTCAACCACTCCGGTTTGGTTTTGCGATATCTCGGTTAACGTTTTCGTTATTGCTGATTTTTTGCTGTTTGCTTTTGCAGATTCTACGTTGCTGAAGTTCTTCTTGCCATGGAGTATCTACACATGCTTGGGATCATATACAGAGACCTAAAGCCTGAGAATGTTTTAGTCCGTGAAGATGGACACATAATGCTATCGGATTTCGACCTTTCCCTGAGATGTGCGGTCTCTCCAACCCTGGTCCGATTCGCAGCAACCACAACGCTTGACTCCAAGAGCTCAGGCTACTGCATCCAGCCGAGTTGCGTGGACAACACGAGCTGCATCGTTCAGCCAGATTGCATCCAGCCAGTGTGTTTCACTCCTCGGTTCTTGTCCAAGAGCAAGAACAAGAAGAAACCGCACGATACGACGCGCCAGGTCAGGCCGCTCCCGGAGCTGATGGCTGAACCGACCAGCGCACGGTCCATGTCCTTTGTTGGGACACACGAGTACTTAGCGCCAGAGATTGTCAAAGGAGAAGGTCACGGAAGCGCGGTTGACTGGTGGACTTTCGGGATTTTCCTTTACGAGCTTCTGTTTGGGAAAACACCGTTTAAAGGAGAAGGTAACAGAGCGACGCTGTTCAATGTAGTTGGACAGCCTTTGAAGTTCCCTGAGCACCCGAGTGTGAGCTTTGCGGCTAGAGACTTGATCAGAGGGTTGCTTGTGAAAGAGCCTCAGCATCGGTTGGCTTATAGAAGAGGAGCCACTGAGATCAAGCAGCATCCGTTTTTCCAGAGCGTGAACTGGGCTTTGATCAGATGCACCAGTCCTCCTCAGATTCCTCAGCCGGTAAAAGTCACGGACAATGCTCACAGTCTTCGCCATGGTCATGGTCATGGTCATAGTCAAGGACATGGACATGGTGGTCATGATAAGCCGCCTACTGTGGATGTCAAGTCTTCTGGTAATTATTTGGAAATTGATTTCTTCTGATGTGTTTTCTCGGTTTTGGTTTGTACTTATTCGCTTGATCTTACGGCGTATTAGTCAACTGTGTATGATGATGCCTTTGCTTTGGCTTTGTCTAGATTCTCTGATCATGTGTCTTGCTAAAATGATTTGACTTTTGTTGTTTCTTCACACATTATGGTGAGGTTGTACCTAGTTTTGCAGTATATTCAAAACCAAGTTTCCTTTAATCCAATTATGGAAATGTAAATATATAATAATCAATAGATGTATTTCCAATAGCAAATGTTCCTTCTTCATTTTAGCTAGGAAAGAGACGAGTCTTTTAGTCTTTAGTGACTTTTCTGAAAATGATTCTTATAAACGCAGAAGGATTACACAATTATAAAACTAGAGTAAAAAAAATGAATATAATCACTTACATACTCCATATAAAAAAAAATTAGTGAAAGAAAGCAAGCGTCTGTGCAAATTGTCAGACAATTTAGCTTGCAAAAATGGATTTAATACGTGTGGTGTTCCTAATTGATCAAAATTAATAAAAAAGAGTCTTGGTTTTAAACTAAAGTAACCGTCGGTCACCTATACAGTTTGACGGAAGAGTGTTTAGCAAACGAATGACGAATCTCCCGGTGAGCTGGGGAGTAGGTAAAAAGGCTTATATATCACCAACCAGTCACTTTTATTCGAGGCCCAATTTGCGTGGGTATGGGAGCGACGGTTGTTCACAGATTTTAGGAAAATGTTATAAAGAAACCGAAAACTCTCTTGTTTTCGAAAATAAATGATAACGAAGGTAACACCTTCATTTCGATCGCTTCGCTTGTTCAACTCTCTCTCTTCTCTCTGCTTCTGCGATACCCTAGATTTTGGAGGGAAGAAGAGGACGTGGTACTCTTCGATGGGGGAAGTAGAGAACAACATCAACGCTGTGCCGGTCTCGGAAGACGAGCTCTATGGGTTTAAACGGCAGGAGATGTACAGTGGTAGCCTCGCCGGTTCCGTTGGTCCGTACGGTCGCCATGTTTTCCTTTGCTACAAGAGTCACGAGATCTGGCTCCCTCGTGTCGAAGCTGAAGGTCTTCCGCAGCGTTTCGCTAAGTCGTTCAAGGATCGCAAATCTGATTTCGCTGTTGAGGTAGGTACTCTAAACGTTTAGATTCGTCTTTTTCTGGTGTGGATTGTCTTCATTAGCTGCTGAATGTTGGCCGTTCTGTTGTTGTAGACGAAGCTGACGGTGTGCGGTGGAGGTGAATCGGATGGGGATGTGTTGATTTTCCCGGAAATGATCAGATACAAGTAAGTTTCGATTTTCAGCTACTTCTACTTTTGATTTTTGGGGTTTTAGCTAAATTTTCGACTAGGACCTGGCTTCCTTGTTTCGAATCCATGCTTGGTAGTTCGAATTCGATGGATAGTCACAACTAATTGATTTAGATACTCAGATTTTAGGTCTTTCGGTTGTAGAGATGATGATGGTATTTGGATCTGAAAAGTTGATTTTTCCAGTCGTTCTGTTGATATGTGTTTATGTTACTCTGCTAATGGTGTTCCATAGCTGCGTTGTTTTGGATCTTTTAGCCATCTTTGGAGATCTTAGCTTTGTGTCTTATCCTTTTGTACAATTTCCATTCTTATTGTTAATTACCAAAAAGGGCGCTTAAAGACACAGATGTGGATGCTTTTGTGGAAGATGTGCTTGTTAAAGGGAAACCATGGACCTCTGGGATTCAGGAAGAGCTATCAGGTTCCTTTGTATTTGTGTGTGCTCATGGTAGCCGGGACAAGAGATGTGGCGTTTGTGGACCAGCTCTTATGGAGAAGTTCGAGCAGGAGATTGGGTCACGTGGACTTTCAGACCAAATTTTCGTCAAGCCGTGTTCTCATATTGGTGGCCACAAGTATGCCGGAAACTTGATTGTCTTCAGCCCTGATTCAGCTGGAAATATTTCTGGCCACTGGTAAAGAAATGTCGAGTCCAACTTGTGTGATTCAGAAGAGATATTGAACTGTGATATCTTAAGCATCATCGAACGATCTTGCTATTGTTGTGCAGGTATGGCTATGTGACTCCTGATGACGTGCCTGCAATGCTTGATCAGCATATTGCAAAAGGAGAAATCATACAAAACCTTTCCAGGTCTGTTTTTCCTGCTTCTTGTTTCTAGCTTGTTGCAGATATGTCTATGTTGGAACCGAAATGTTTTATTAACATACAAAAACATTTGTTTGCTAATGAATGTTGCAAGTCTGTATTATTTCAAAGTATTATTATACTGCAATGTAATTGCTAGGATCACAGTTAACAAGTTTCTGTGTTAGAGACAACAAATGGTAACATGTAATGTGTACTTTGGCTGAAGTATTTGTTTGCTGAACTAGGAAGCTCATAACCCTTCACTCACTCGGTTACGGTTTTATTTTAAAAACTTACCATTTCTTTTGACAAAAACATGTGCCAAGGGACCTTTCAGGTTCATTCAACGCTGTTTTTCTGTTTCCAAATAGCGACATAGTTTACCCATATAATTTATGTTTCAGGGGACAGATGAGGCTAAAACTCGAGGGTGAGGAAGCTGAGAAAGAGGCTGAGCATAAACTCCCAAACGGAAACGGCATAGTGGAACGCGAACCGGAGGAGAAGAAGGGATTCACAGGAGGTTGCTGCCAAGGTGCAAACGGGGTATCATGTTGCCAGGACCAAACTCCAGAGCCGGTCAAGAAAGAAGGAACCGTGAAGCGAAACTGGTTCAGATCGATGGAGAAAGAAGAGCTTCTCTTGGGAGCTGCCGCAGTTGGGGCTGTCGCAACCATAGCCGTGGCTTACAGCATTTACAGGAGGTCAGGTTAAGAAACCGCCCCCCCCCCCCCCCCCCCCCTCCCTCTTTATACATTTCGAGAAGACGTTATTACACAAAAAGTATAAAACTTTATTTTTGGTAGCCATGTTATAGCAGTAAAAGAAATGAAAACATAGAGGTAAATTGTAATGGTCTTTCCGAACCACGTAACCATCATTTGGTCTGTGTTGGGGTAATATCAGTTTGGCAATACGGGAATGAGATGTATTTTCTGCCTTTGAATAACTATATAATAAAACCTCCTCCCTCGTTTTCTGTGTGTGCCGTTTTGGCTTGGACCGATTTGGTTTAGTTGGTTAGTTTATGTTGATTGCCTCTTTGTTCTACGTTATACATTAGCTTTGATCAGTGATACAATAGCTAAACGGGATTGTACCGGCCTATGCAGTGAGGAACTCACAAAGACTTGAGAAGAAAAAGATTGCAAAAATAGTCTGGTTTATGTACTACCTAACTTAATATATAAACAAGTAATATATTTTCAATCTAATAACTTTTATTGGCATGTCATCATCATCTAGAATTCAAATGTGGATAATGTAAACACACGTTACCAAACATTTTTTCATGAACGACAAAAGACTGATAATAAGAAAATAAAAAGTGAAACTGATGAAAGAAAAACCTGCAAAGTACAAAAGGACGGTCGTAAGGAAATGGGTTCCACCTACAATCTCACTCTTTTTTAAGTTTGTTACCTCACCGACGAGATTTTCTATCGACACTTTTCAGTTTTGGTCTTTTTCTTTAGTATTTGTATGTAAATTCAACTAAAGTTTAGCCCCAACCACCCCACACCTAGCACAATCTTTTGGTTCAGTAATCAACTTATTTGAAAAGGGAAGATGATTAAAGAGAATGATTTGATTATATATAAGATATGATGTTTTGACCATGAGAGATCCAATTCCGTCACACCACAACCTGGTTGATTTCCAAAATTTCCGACTAATCACCGTCACATTTTCGTTTATCTGTGCGTTAAAAAAGTCTTCTAAAGAATTCTCCTATTCGTTATCTTGGAAACTATCACGACCAGTTTCAAGATAACATAATCTCTCTACAAATTAAACATCTTAGGAAGTCCAAAGTCTTTCAATCAGCTTTTTGGAAGCTCTCGCATTATTATTTCGTAATCGGCATTATTGAAAGCCTACAATCGACCATTACAAAACATAGTTCTATATTTGTTTCCTAGTGGTTAAATAATTGATGCGTAAGTTTACCCATTTAATTTGACCCTCGACAAATATACACGATGCAGAATTACTTTGGCAAACCCACAAACTTCATTTCATTTCAAATAACAGTATTTTGTTACAATTTACATAAATTTTGGTAATGTATGTTTTATTTTCTTAGTTTTATGCTCTATACAGAAACTTGTACACGAAAAAAGAGAAAATGACTTGTGGGTGTGCTTCCGCGTCTGCAAGTGTTTTCTTGGAGAGAGAGAGAGAGAGGTGAGGAGAGTTCTTGTCACCTCACTGACGCCTACCCGGAAAAAGCAAACAACTTTCGATTTCTTTAATCCTTTTTTTTTGTGTGTTCTGAGAAACCAAAATCCCCTAAACAAAGAAAGTTTTAATTTCGTAAAATCTTTAACCAAACGAACACGAATCATCATATTTTGACCAATTCCTTATCTGGGTGTTTTTTTTCCTCCTTCAGAGTTCCAGTGTCAACTTCACTTCTCCATACTTCTTCTTCTCCTCTCTCTCTCTCTCTCTTCATATCTCTCTATCGCTCTCTCAAATTCCCACCTTTTCCGCGCAGTTTTTTTTGTTTAAAATTATTATTACAGAAACCAAACGATTAATTTCTTTCTGTAGTTGACGAATTTTGGGATTGATTGTCGTCTTGCTCTTCTGGGTTTCTTTATTCTGTGTCCTCTATTTATGGGAATCATTGGTTTTGCTTTATATTCTCCATAAAAAGCATCTGATTGTATACTTCCAAATTCCAATTCCAAAATTGTACCCAACCCGTAATGATTAATCAATCAAAAAGGGCCCAGCTTTGATAAATCTCTCTAGTTAGGGTTTTTGTGTCAGAAACATAACATCTCAACAAAAATTGAAGTTTTTTGTCTGGATAATGGGATCTGCAAGTGGGTTTTACTCAAACGAAGGGTTCGAATTGGATTCTAAATGGCTCGTTGATCCTCGTCATCTCTTTGTTGGTCCCAAGATCGGTGAAGGTGCTCATGCCAAAGTTTATGAGGGAAAGTAAGCTTTGACTTCGATTTTTTTATTTTTATGATCCAAAAAGTGAAAACAAAGACAAAACTCTCTCTTTGCTTTCAGTACTTTGGTTCGAGTTTAGAACTCAGAACTAATTGGTCTGAAAAAGGTTAGCTCTTTGTCTATGTGAAAGCACAAGAGAACCTTATGGGAAGATATTTATTCTCTGCATATATGTTTCAGCTTGATGATCGAGTTAATGATCAAAGAGCTGCTCCTGCTTACATTTTTGTCTGAATCAAACACTTATTAGGCTTATTGGGTTAACCTTTGTACTATTTATCCCGAAATAATCTGTTTCTTGTAGATTCTCTGTTCCTGCAAGATGCTTTCTTTTCATCAGTTTAACAGATTGAGAAGTGTTTGGTTGATTTGAAAATGTCTTTTGTTTGCTTGTTTGTTTAGGTATCGAAACCAAACGGTAGCAATTAAGATTATAAAAAGAGGAGAAGCCCCTGAAGAGATCGCCAAAAGAGATAACCGGTTTGCGAGAGAGATTGCAATGTTGTCTAAAGTCCAGCACAAGAATTTGGTCAAGGTTTCGCCTTCTTTTTTTTTTTCTTCCTCAACACACTCTTCATTTGGCTAACCGAGTTATCGGGTTATAACAAAAAAAAAACGTTTGGAAATCTCGATTTTATATAGTTCATCGGAGCGTGCAAAGAACCAATGATGGTTATAGTAACCGAGCTTTTACTAGGCGGTACATTGCGTAAATACCTAGTGAGCTTGCGGCCAAATCGTTTAGATATACGTTTGGCTGTAGCGTTTGCTCTCGACATTGCTCGCGCCATGGAATGTTTGCATTCCCACGGAATCATTCACCGTGATCTCAAACCAGGTAAGATAGGAAAATCAAAACGCAAATTTTCTAAAAGTATATATGTGGAAAAACTTATTAAATCTTATTGCGTTTGCAGAGAATTTGATCTTATCTGCGGATCGTAAGACGGTTAAGCTAGCTGATTTCGGTTTAGCTAGAGAAGAATCATTAACAGAGATGATGACCGCAGAGACTGGTACTTACAGATGGATGGCCCCTGAGGTATTTTACTGCTGCTTAAACCGCAAGAGAAACATATCGGTTTGCGTCTTGTCTTATCTCGTTGAATGTAATGGAAACAGCTTTACAGTACGGTTACGTTAAGGCATGGAGAGAAGAAACACTATAACCATAAAGTAGATGCTTACAGCTTCGCCATTGTCTTGTGGGAACTCATTCTCAACAAGTTACCTTTTGAAGGCATGTCGAATCTTCAAGCAGCCTATGCCGCTGCTTTCAAGGTAACATAAAATTAGCTTTCAAATCCAGATTAACCGAATTCTGAAACTAAACCGAAATAACTGGTCCGAGAAAGAAATCTAAATGGAACATTCTGAATCTCTGCTATGGTGTCTTTGGAATCTTGTGGTATAGTTAATCCGTTCTTGGATAAGAATTTGATTCAAGAGTGATGATTTTCTGAAACTAGCATTGTGACTAATATGTTTATGTCTTTGGTATTAGAACTTGAGGCCGAGTGCAGAAGATTTACCAGGGGATCTAGGGATGATCGTTACTTCGTGCTGGAAAGAAGATCCTAACGAACGGCCAAACTTCACGGAGATAATTCAAATGCTCCTCCGTTACCTTACCACTGTTTCGCCGCCACAGATCGTTTCTCCTCCGGTTAGACGGGTTTTCTCATCGGAAAACGTGGTTTTGTCACCGGAATCTCCCGGAACGTGTTCTCTGATGACTGTCAGAGACAAAGATGGTTCTGGTCATACTGTTAACACTGCTGATGACTCGTCAGAGAAACAAACAAAAGAAGGAAGCTTCTTCTTCTGCTGCTCATAGATGATCATCGATTTATGTTTTCAGTTTGAATTTTGTAAAGGAAACGAGAGGAAGTGTTTATGAAAAAAAAGATATATAATAATGTATTTATTATTGTTCTTTGAATAATAAATAGTTCAGAATTTAGATCACAGTAACAAGAAAAATTTGTTGTTCGTGTATATTCTCATCTCCCAGTCAACAATATTGTGAACTCTGAACGTTTTTCTAATGTTTTTGATGTATAGAGATAAGGCTATATCGGTAAATTCAAATAAGTATCAGAAGGTTTTCAAAACAAAAAATCACGCCGTTGCCGGGGATCGAACCCGGGTCACCCGCGTGACAGGCGGGAATACTTACCACTATACTACAACGACACTTGTTGTTAGAAACAGAGAAACATGATTTATAAACTTAGATGTTTGGGATCGTCTTCTTCTAAAACCCTCAAACCCTTGCCTGGGAGCTTAACAAATCGATTCTCACTTGCTCGAATATTTCGCTAGTTCCCCCTTCTGCTAGTAGCTTCACTGGCATAAGGCCAAATGTTCGCGACGAGGAGTCTCTCGAGACATTGCTCGAGAACTTGTAAATGGTCCTTATCCTCCCTCCTTCAATCCGATTCCTGCAGGTAATTTCAGATTCCACATCCTACCCATTTTTTCACCACTGATCCTATTTTCTCTATTTCAATTGAGATTTTCGGGATACCCATCTCCCAGATTCGTTTAATTTCCCGCAAATTTTATAGCTTGTGTGCCCAAATGATTGGTTTTGCCATCGTTTTCCGGAATTTATAATCCGAGTTTTGTAGCAATCGTGACAATTTATCTTCTTCCTCTTGCTTATGTTAACGGCTTTTCCGATATCGTTCTTGAAGGAATCTGGTTTTGTCATCGAATCCGGTTACAAGGAATGCGATGCTGCAGCCTGGTAGCTCAACTGAAGGCGGTTCCAATTCGTTTCCGCCATTGATGCATTTCAAGGGATGGTCACGAGCTATGTCAACATCGAGAGGAAGGAGCATGAGGAGTAAAGTGGAGAGTAGAATGCGGAAAGAGTCTGGTAAGACGCTAAGAGAGATTAGGAGAGCTAAAAAGTTGAAGAAGAAACTCATGACTGACGAAGAAAGGCTCATTTACAACCTCAAAAGGGTATATACATCATTCACTTCTTCTTTTGCCTTTTGACCATTTTGCAATTGATCCATACTAACTCGAGGAGTTTGTATTTTTTGTGCATTTATATATGTTCAAGTTGGAGACTTTATCTGTGATTTCGCTTACTGTGAATAGGTTGAGATAGTGTTGAGTTTATCTATGGAGTTGATATGTAGAAAATTTGCTTTACTTGAGATGTTATTGTGTGTTGGATATGATGCAGGCGAAGAAGAAAGTTGCGCTTCTGTTGCAAAAGCTCAAGAAGTACGATCTTCCTGAGCTGCCATCTCCGGTGCATGATCCCGAGCTTTTCACACCAGAGCAGGTCCAAGCGTTCAAGAAAATCGGATTCAAGAATAAAAACTATGTTCCCGTTGGAGTTCGTGGAGTCTTTGGAGGAGTGGTCCAAAACATGCATATGCACTGGAAGTTTCATGAGACGGTGCAAGTTTGTTGCGATAACTTCCCAAAGGAAAAGATAAAAGAGATGGCGACCATGATAGCTAGACTGAGCGGTGGTGTAGTCATAAATATACACAATGTAAAAACCATTATTATGTTCCGTGGTAGAAACTACCGTCAGCCCAAGAACCTAATCCCTGTCAACACCCTCACAAAACGAAAGGTAAAGCAGTCTAAACCTTCGATTTATAGTATCAGTTTCTTGATTATTCCTTCGTTATTGAGGCTTTTGTTGTTAAATAATGATACTTTAGTTGATATCAGTAATTAGGAATTAGACTTTGGTTGAAGTAGATTATCCAGGTTACGATATCACTTCTTAACTACATGCTCAAAGCTCAAGTCTTTGGGTCAGACGATCATTAGCTTTCTTTTATTTTAAGAAACATTGAGGTGTGGCTTGCTCTGACAGTTGTTTTGTAGTCGTATGGTATGAACAAGTATCTATGTTTTGCAGGCTTTATTTAAAGCGAGATTCGAACAAGCTCTTGAATCCCAGAAGCTGAACATAAAGAAAACAGAACAGCAGCTAAGGCGAATGGGTGTTAACCCGGAAGATCCGGTTGCCATGGCTAGCATCCAGAGAGTGGCCTCAACGTTCTTCAATGCAATCGACAAGAAAGAAGGAAGCCCGTATGTCTTCCATGGAGATAAACAATCACCAAGAGGGACTAGCGTCGTAAATACAGAAGTATCAGAGCCAGAGCCGGGTGATGAAGATAGTGACCAGGAAGAGCTAGACAGATTCATAGCTGAGATTGAAGACGCAGCAGACAAGGAGTGGGAGGAAGAGGAAGCTGCGGAGCAAGAGGAATCTGGTAGAATAAGGTATTGGAACCGAGAAGAGTTTGCAGGAAGAAGCAGAGGACCTGACATGCGTAATTATGGAGACTCAGGTCATGGCTTTAGAAGAAATGAAAGGGATACACGTAGTCAGAGGAGATCTAACGATAGTGATGACGATGATGATGATGACAGTGATCAATTGGATTCTGAGGATGATGAAATTCCAAAGAGATTTGATAGAGCAAGACCAAATACAAGAAGGCAGGGAGAAGATTTTAAGAGAAGAAGCCCTGATCCTAGACCTCGAGTGAGGAGTGATGATGACGATGTGTTGAGTGATCTTGATAACACAATGTGGGACTCGGAAGATGAAAAAGATGCACCGGGCAATTATATTTCGAGCAGCGATGAGGATGAAGATGTGAACAGGACAGTATCGGCATCTAAACAACGGACATTCAAGAACAATAATAGTTCAAGAGATGGTATCAACAATTCAAAGACGAAGAGTGGAAAACAGAGGGACGAGGATTGGGATAGTGATTAGAAATGAAGAAGATGAGATCACAGAGTCTCCTATGTTATTTTTATTTGTCATCCGATTATTAAATGAGAACTGAAAGATGTGAAACTCTGGTCTGAATATTGAAAGCTGGTATTTCTGTTGTTAAGTTCGGTTCGTGATGATTCAGTGGAAAACACAGAACAAGATATGCCAAAGCTCTGTTTCACTGCATCTGTAATTCAAGTTCAGGTTTTGCAGTGGCAAATTATGAGAAGAAAAAAGACTGTTATTTTCAGTCAGAAGTTGTATTGTTTTTGTTATCTTATCCTAATTGCTTTACTAGTTCGTAAAAGTCGACTTTAGAGATTGGCTTTATCGCAGTATACGTATTCCACAAGGTAACTTCCTGTTTGAAGTCAAACGAGAATCTATTCAAAGCATAAATAACAGAGATACATGTGAGATTAGTACAAGATTCCTTCTGAAAAGATAATTTTTTAACTTGAAAGCAAAGGCTTGCTTTTGGTTCTTGATTCATTACTAAGTTGGCATTCAGAAGTAATTCATCAGCATCTTCTCAGTATTGCTTGTCCCCAAAAATACCCTTAAAGAAAGATAAGCTTAGAACAAAATCCAGAATCTCACAACAACAACACAGCTTAAACTTTAAAACGAACAAAAAAATTTCAGACAAGGCTGGAATTTGCGAGCAGCCAGAAATCAGATCCGAGCAAATAATGCTTAATAGATAGATGGTGAATGAATAAGAATGAAGTAATAACTGATATAACCGAAGAAAATGTTATATAAACAAATGGATCCTGAAACATCTATACTACTAAAAATCAGCCTTTAGGCAGCAACATCTTCTTCCCATTGTTGAAAAAACTTAGGAAGTGTTGTGCAGCTCTAACTCAAAAGTAAGCTCCTTTTTCTCACAAAACCCTCCTGTATCAAAAGAAACTGATGTAAAAGAATCCTCAGAGCTCACTAACTGAATCCAGCATTCCGATTATATACGCTTCCAGGCGAAGTATCAAAGAGCTTCTCCTCTTTGGGTCAAAAAAATTGCGCCTTTTATCTCAAGAACGATCCGAATAGATGGACCTGAAGCTTGGTTAAGTCTATACAAGAACACTTTCAAAGTGTTCATCATACAAACCCTGTCTGACTTTCTCTTACGCAATTACCAGGTAACAAGTATTTGTACTGGTCTGCGTTATCCAGCAGGTACGAAGGAAGATGAACAGCTGAATAAGACCGAGGCACAGGTCCCATTTTGCCAATAATCTCCCTGAACGTGTACTCCTCAGGCAACATATCAAACAAATTAGTTCCTTTGCATATAACATCTTGGATCCTACTCGGATTCAGGTAATGAGAGAACCTGACACGGTCCGAGTGACTGTAAGCTTTCATCTTGAACACAAACTCGCTTATGTAACGGAAGCAGAAGCTGCAGTGCCACCCTGAATCAGATAACACAACGTTGCTCTGACGGTAATGAGCGTACCGAGTCTTCCCTGGACTGTACCGATGCACAGAGGCTCTCCAGCTCTTGCTGTCGACATAGTACTCGAAAGAATACAAGTAGTTCTTGAGCTGGAGGTGAAGAACAGGAGGGATATCGTCACACCATCTCAAGAGATTGATCGTGTGAGCACTCGGGATCTCATCGACATCAGACATTATCAGCAGATCATCCTCTTCAATGCCAGCTATCCTAAGAAGCTGATCCAACGCAACTCGCTGATACGCTTCCTCCACAAACGGATTCTCTCCTTTCCTGAACCTTCCTCCTATCGTCCCGTAGGTTAGCCTCGGCTCCACGAAGCTGAACTTGTCCTTGTTGCTCTTGAAAACCAGCGGTTTAGGCAAACCGGTGAACGTTGAGTTTGACTCCAGAAGCACAAACTGTGTCACGTAAGGATAAAGCTCTTTCCAACGAACGGTTAAGAGATCCTTCTCGTTGCTGAACAGAACCGCATCGAAGACACGTCTCGGTGTTTCTCTGGTTCCCCAGCCGTGGAGGCTGCAGAGAGACTCCATTGTTATGTTCTCGGTGTAGTAATGAGGGATGGTCTGAAACGGTTTAGGAGGAGACTCCCAGAGCGGTCGGAAGAAATAAGTGAACTTTTGGCCGTGTAGATAGATTCCCAGGACAGCAAATGGCATGACGATGAAGAGGAACAAGTAGGTTCTTAGGTCGAAGCCTCGAAGAACACATTTGAGCCTTGAGATTGTTGCGGCTGCTTTTGATCCCTGCTGCACAACAAAACAATGAACACGATTCATAAGATGGAACAAAATCAACAAAATTTCCAGAACAATTTAACCTTAAATAAGACAAAACAATGAGCGGTTTTTTGAAGATCATAACTTTTATATTGGTTCAAAAAAGATCATACTTTTATATCAGTTTGAGAAAAATTCAAAGATCTTTTCAAGCAACAGAAACAATCTGACCAATAAAAAACTTTTTTTTTAAAACAAAAAAAGAGAGCTTTCATAAATTATACTACTACCAAAGGATTTGATACGATTTGCTATAAACATATGAGTATTCAATTTCCAATCTTTCGAGAAAATCTGAAAATTTTAACCCCCAGAAAAATATGCCGATTGAATTTTCAGAGTGCGTGGCGAATTTCTCGGAAACAAATTTTACAGAAATCGAATACAAAAGACAAGCTTGAAAGAATTTTTATAATTTCGAGTGTGTAAGAAAGAAAAGGAAAAAAAAAAACATGAGAGACCAACCTGTCCACAAACATCTTCGCAGATAGCATCCGTCTTCTTCGAACTGTAGTATCCATCGGACATGATTTGAATGTGAGAAGAACAGAGAGATTCGACTAATGTTTAAGCCAGGAAATCGTTTAATCCCCAAATTAAATAATACCCAGAGAAACCAAAAAATCGAAAAAAGCAAAAAAACCAGAAACGGAGATATAGGAAATTTTCAAAACTCCTCACGAATTATTGGTTTCCCGGAAAACCTAAATCACCTACTTTTTTTTCCCAATCTCTAGAGATGAAAGAAATAAAAAAATCAATAGAATTGTAGAGCCTTTTAAGGAATGGAATCTCCTAATCCAAAGAGACAAAAGGTAATAAATATTCACTCTTTTCCTTTTCAATTATGAAAAAAAAAACACATTAATATTTAACTTTGGAGTTTATAAAGGTTTCGAGTCTTTCGACATTTCGAAGAAACAGTCCGTTTCAGCGTTACAGATTTTTATAATTACGCGTTAAAACCGTTGGATTAATCTGGATTAAGTAAGAATCCTACGGTTGAAGTTAGTTCGACGCGTGGGGTTATGAACGTGACTCGACGCTTTGTGCTGATTTATGAATTTAACGGCAAGTGCCAGCGCATGATTAGTGACGAGTAGCAGTTTCTCATTGTATTTATCTTATTAATGTAAAGAAAACACCGATAGTGCCAAGCACTAGCCCAAGACCGTAATACCCGAGAGATCCGAAAGAAATAAAGACCCTCTAAGTATGAATAATAAGATGAAAGAATACTTAGAGAAAACTTGAAGGAACTTTAGAGAGGATAAGAGAACTTATGAAGAACACTCTTTCTTTATTTGTTCAACTTCTCTTTTTTTTATTTACAAATGATGGAGTAGTGGGCTATTTATAGGCTCCACTTATTACAAAATATCTTACAAACATTCTCCTAATCTCTAGAATTTTCTACAATAATATCTAAAATTTTAACTACAACATCTAGAATTATCTATAGAATTATCTAGATATTTAACTAATAGAATTCTCTAGAACATTTAAGAAAGATGATGATTTTTAGTGATGTTTCTAGAGATTCTAGAACTTGAGCTTAATTTTAGGTCTAATCTAATAACTAATAATTATTTTATAAATCCAAAATTAAGCTTAACCCAAAATCAAGTTTAACTTCAATACTCCCCTTTAAACTTGATTTTGTCAGTCATCCCGAGCTTCGAGCGAAGTAACTCGAACTGACCTTTTGGTAATGACTTGGTGAAGATATCCGCAACGTTGTCCTCGCTTCGAACTTCCAAAGCTTCAATTGTCCCATCAAGCACCTTCTCTTTTATGAAGTGATGCTCTAACTCAATGTGTTTAGTCCTCCCATGGAACACCGGATTATTGGCCAGCTTGATCGCACTTTGATTATCTCCATAAATTGCAATTGGCTTATTGATTGGCTCGAACAGATCTTCAAGGAGTCTCTGAAGCCAAATACACTCTTGAGCTGCTAGAGTTGACGCTTTATACTCTGCTTCAGTTGTAGATAACGACACCGTTGCTTGCTTCTTACTGCACCATGAGACACTTGTGTTCCCACATAGGAAAACATAGCCTGAAGTTGATTTCCGATCATCAAGATCTCCACCAAAGTCAGCATCCGTGAAGCCATAAAGAGAGACCTTGGCATTATACTTGTACACCAGACCCATGCCAAGAGTTGTCTTCACATACTTCAATATCTTCTTTGCCGCTTCTAGATGTGGCTTCCTTGGTGCCTGCATAAACCGACTTACAAGACCTACCGCGAAGGCAATGTCAGGTCTTGTAATGGTTAAGTATAAAAGACTTCCTACAAGAGAGCGATAAGGCCGAGGATCAGGTAGTAAGGACCTTTCATCGCGTTTAAGCTTTATGTTGACATCCATTGGAGTAGAGCGTGTCTTTCCTTCGTGTACTCCAAACTTCTCAACGATTCTTCTTGCATAGCTTTGTTGGCCGATGAATATTCCACCCTTTACCCTTTCCACCTCCAAACCGAGAAAGTTGTTGAGCTCTCCCAACTTCTTCATCTCAAACCTTATCGACATATCCTCTTGTAAACGAGTAATTTCTGCATCATCATTCCCGGTAATTATCATATCATCCACGTAAAGGAGAACTACCACGTGGACTCCTCCATTCTTCTTGAAGAATAGACTCGGATCAGAGTTTGATGCCACATAACCGCAGAACTGAAGAAACTGAGCAAGCTTTCCATACCAGGCTCGTGGAGCTTGTTTTAACCCATACAAGGCCTTCTTCAGCTTACACACATAATCAGGATGCTCTCGTGATATAAAACCAAGTGGCTGCTCCATCAGGATTTCCTTGTCAAGCTCTCCATATAGAAAAGCATTCTTCACGTCTAATTGCCATAACTTCCAACCAAAACTTGCAGCCAAAGATAAGAGAGAACGTACCGTAGTCATCTTGGCTACAGGGCTGAAGGTCTCATCATAGTCTTCTCCATACTTTTGAGAGAATCCCCGAGCAACCAACCTTGCTTTGAATCTATCAACGCTTCCATCTGTTTTGCGCTTGATCCGGTACACCCATTTACAAGAAACAGGTTGGGCATTCTTGGGT